TCCCTGCCACCATCACCCCACCCCTCTGTCCCCACCCCAAACCCATCCCTTGTCCGTCTGTCACCCCGATCCTGTCTGTCTTTCACCCCGATGTGCCCCCATCCCTCATCCCCCTGCCACCCCAACCCCATCCCTCTGTCACCATGACCCCATCCCTCGTCCCTCTGTCACCCCGACGCCATCCTTTGTCCTTCTGTCTCTGTGACCCCCTCCCTCTGTCCCACCACTCCGCCCCCATTCTGTCCCCCAGTGTCAGTGGGTTCTGTGGGTGGGGATGACGAGGGGTGTGACGTGGGGACACGGATGGGGTGGGGGTGTGACGTGGGGACAGGGGGTTATGGGGACAGGGGGATATGGGGACCACCCCAAACCCACAGGGACATCGGGACCCAGAACCCGTGGGGACATTGGGACCCTGAAGCCATGAAGACGCAGGGATTCAGAACCCATGGGGACACTGGGACCGAAACCCAAAGGGACATCCGGACCCCAAACCCACAGGGACATCTGGATCCCAAGCCTACAGGGACATCTGGATCCCAAATCTACAGAGGTGGTGGGACCACTCCAAAAGCCTGGGAACAGAACTCATGGGGACACTGGGACTCAAAGCCACAGGGACATCTGGACCCCAAACCCACAGGGACATCTGGACCCCAAACTCACAGGGACATCTGGATCCCAAACCTACAGAGGTGGTGGGACCACCCCAAAACCCTGGGACCAGAACCCATGGAGACACTGGGACTGCCCCAAACCCAGGGGGACACCGGGACCTGAACCCACGGGGACAGTGGGACTGCCCAGAAACCGCGGGGACACTGGGACCCCAAAAACATGGGGACATGGGGAACTGAAACCATGGGGACACCAGGACCCAGAACCTGCAGACACCGGGACCCAAACCCACGGGGACAGCAGGACCTGAACCCATGGGGACAGCAGAACCCAAACCCACAGGGACAGCAGGACCCGAACCCATGGGGACACCGGGACCTGAACCCATGGGGACACCAGGACCCGAACCCACAGGGACATCAGGACCCGAACCCACGGGGACACCGGGACCCGAACCCACAGGGACACCAGGACCCGAACCCACAGGGACATCAGGACCCGAACCCACGGGGACACCGGGACCCGAACCCATGGGGACAGCAGGACCCGAACCCATGGGGACACCGGTACCTGAACCCACGGGGACACCAGGACCCGAACCCACGGGGACACCGGGACCCGAACCCACAGGAAAATCAGGACCCGAACCCACGGGGACAGCAGAACCCGAACCCACGGGGACAGCAGAACCCAAACCCACGGGGACACCGGGACCCGAACCCACAGGGACATCAGGACCCGAACCCACGCTGATACCAAAACCCGAACCCGGGGGCCGCCCCGACCCGTCGTACCGCGCTGCGCGGAGCCCGACGCTGCCTCCGAGGCGGAGTCCCGGTCCGCATCGCGGTTCGGGTCCCGGCTGGGATCCAGGCTGGGGTCGCGCTCCGGGTCTCCGCTCGGCTCGCGGTCCGCACCGAGGCTCGGCTCCCGGCCGGGGTCCCGGCGCAGCGCCTCCGGCAGCCGCAGGTCCAGCGGCTGCTGCTGCTCCGCGGGCGGTGCGGGGTCGGCCGTGCGGGAGTCGGGCGACTCCGGGGGGGTCGCGGCGCCGCGGAGCCACTCGGGGGGGCACGAAGTTCGTGCGTGGGGGGCGGCCGGAAGGAGCGGCGCGGGGAACGCG